GTGCGCGTGCGTGTGCGTGTGCGTGTGCGTGCGTGTGCGTGTGCGTGTGCGTGTGCGTGTGCGTGTGCGTGTGCGTGTGATTTGAAAGAGCAGATGCGTGTTTGGGGTGAAACGTAACCCCCATGAGATCTGTTTGAAGTCGGCACTGAAATGATCGCGCTCTCTCACGCACTCTGAGCATGACAGACACCGAGAGTTCTCCAGTAAACGATCCTCTCTACCTGTCTAGTTAGCAAGCAGTTTCGTTAGTCAGTAAGTTTCTAGTTTAGTTTAGACCCCCCCCACGCACACACGCACACGCACGCACGCCCCCCCCCCACACACACACATACACACACCGCCAGACCCTCTACCCTACTCGTTTCGTCATGGCCGTGGCCAGGTTCATTCGCTACCCGCTTAGCAGGTCGGTGGGTAGGTGACCCTGCAAGCCACCTCTCTGACTGACATTAAGAGTCATTACTGAGTAATGATATTGGATGGAGGTATGGAATCTTCGTTATAATTAATTACGCAGCATCTTCGTTATAATTAATTACGCAGCATCTTCGTTATAATTAATTACGCAGCATCTTCGTTATAATTAATTACGCAGCATCTTCAGCGCGTGGCTGCATGTTGTAACACGGTGCTCGATGTCGTGCTCGTCTCGTTATTTATTACTCACACGGCAAAAATAGGACGTGAGGGTCTTAATATCTGCTGCTCTTAAACTGATTGTTTTCGTAATCTATATAGCTAACCTATAATCTATAATACGACATCTACAATCTACGATCAATGACCTATAATCTATAATCTATAATCTATAATCTATAATCTATGATCTATAATCTATTATCTATAATCTATGATCTATAATCTATGATCTATAATCTACAATCTTTAATCGATAATCGATAATCTATCATCTAAAATCTATCATCTATAACCTATAATCTATAATATTTCATGTATATTTTATAATCTACAATCTATAACTTATAGTATACCATCTATAATCGATAATCGATAAGCTATAACCTAAATTCCTGTGCTAGATACGAGACCAAACATCAGAATCGTCGCCAGAATTGTTGTATTTTGAAGGTTTGAAACCTCCGAAATCATCTTGTGGATTGTAGCAAAGTCGAGTCTTATACAGAGTAGAGATTGCAGCTTGTTCAGACCCCCCATCAGGACAGAGCAGATATACAGCGTCGCAGATTCGTTATGTAACTCTGGCTTTATTTATTAATAAACTTGAACACAAACAAAATATATACATACGTGTGTATATATATATATATGATATAATACGTGACCTAGGATGTAGTATCATACTATATATATATAGTATCATACTACATCCTAGGTTACGTCCATACTGACGCCCTTTCTCTGTCTCTCGTGATCTGTCCTCCTCTCTTTGTCTCTCATCCTAACCGCACCGCCGCAAGAGACGCGCACGCATGCATACAGCGAATTAAAACACGTACGCCTTTGGCGATCTTCCACGAAAAAAACTCACGAGAACCATTAAAAACCGTTTAGGATTTAATTGCGGCAACTTATCCATCACGTCCGTATCGCGCCCGATCGCCGCACCGTAACAAGCTTCAATTAGCATAATTACTACCTATTTCAGTTTCACTATCTATCACCATCATCCATAATTACCTATTAGTCATAATTAGTGCGATCGCGTAAATATCGCAGCTTTCTGACGCTGCCGCTAGATGCCGCCACGGGCCGTCGGCGACGTCGGGTACGTCGATGCGTGCGACGTCGGCTGGAGGTCACGTGACGTTGCAGCGCGCTTTCTCCTCGTCGTTTTATGACACGCGTGTCAGTGACGTGTTATAAGACGTGTTATGATCGCGAATATTTCCTGACTTTGATCAACGAGGCGCGTGTACACGCACGCACACGCATGCATGCGCGCGCGCGTACAATAAAATAAGGATTACTTTTCAAGCAAGAATTGCTCACAGTCTCCCGTCGCTCTCCACGCGAACACAGGAAGCTTCTGTCCCAGCGCATCTCTCTCTCTCTCTCTCTCTCTCGCTCTCTCTCTCTCTCTCTCTCTCTCTCT